TAAAGGTGGTCAACAGTTTCTTCTTGTTGCAAACAAAGGGAGCATTGGTTAACATGATAGATACCTATTCTTTTCATATTGTCTATTGTAGGTAGTTTATTGAGAAGGGCCAATATAATATTGTATTTGATGTGGAAGAATATCTCACGCTAGCGTTAAATGGTGATGTAACATCCACTTCCATCCTTTTTATCTAAAATGGTGACTTGACATAATCTCAGTTTGATTCGAATCAGAATCAAAATTGCTATTCGCATGGCTAGCCATGATCTCAGTTGGATTTGAATCAGAATCTAAATTGCTACTCCCATGGCTAGCCATGATCTCAGTTCGATTCATCAGAATCTAAATTGCATTGAGTCAACGGTTCAAAAGTCAATGAAATGAACCAAAAGAGAAGTTGAACAATTTGGTTCCCATTTCTAAAAGTTGGAAATGAAACTACATGTCGATGATTGATAGACCGATTTTATAGTCTCAAACACCAATCGAAGGAATGATCGAGAACAATCGAAGTTAGAATGTTCATCAAATTCTATCTCAAACACCAACTAAAACCAGTGTGACAATGCTAAGTTAATTAATGCTAAAAGGCAGACTTTAATTGAGTCATACTATTTTCTTTTTCAAATTTTTTTTTTCCATATGAAAACAAGTGAGAAAATGGAGTACGGTAGAACCACAAAATCCAAATTATTCTCGAATCCATAAGACGCAAAAATAGTGAGAATCCAATATATTTTTCCTCTTTTTTTTTTTCCTTAAATTCACTAGGTTGGCTATCGAATACTAATAAGGTCAAATCAGATTTTGCAAATGGAACATGCTGTGTAGTGATCAAAGATGAAAGAGATTACGGAGGAAGAGCTAACAGCCTCAATTCTAATTACTGGTGGTGGAGTGCTCACAATGATTCAGAAAAAGATGAAGGGAATGTGTGCCATTGTTTGCAGATCTACAGAGGGAGGACTATTCTTCTAATTACTCTCAGAATCGAATGACAGACACACATTATACGACACTGCTCTTTCCAGCAACCATATAGCAAAACTGAACAAATAGAAAGAGTTTTAGCATCCATCTGTCCTCCTTTTATGTCTATTTATGATCGATATAACATCGATACATACGGATCACTGGACATGATGAATATTCAAGGACAGCATCTGTTCGCTAAAACAAACCTTTCTTTAACACCTTGCAACCCCAAACTAAGATCACCAAGTACCCATTGCTCCAGCAGCAGAATTCAACCACAGCAGAACCACTTTCGCTGTAACAAATTACTCAAGTGATTAGTAAATTTCGGAAAGAATTAGAGTGCAAATCTCAAGCTAGTTTGACATGGTATCAATATGATCATGGATAAGAGCGCAGGAGCTCTAATAATTGCATAAGCAAATTCCAAATTAGGCTTTCTCTTATTTCTTTTTTCAACAAAATTTTCAAACATCAGATATGATTAAAATATAAAAAGATAGGTGCATACACTTTTCCTTGGATAGTGGTAAGTATCATCTGGTCGCAAACCACCTATGTTTCTCGGTGGTGTTGATGATGCACCTGAGTTACCACCTGTCTTCTTTTCATCTCGAGCCTTATTAAATATAACGGTGAACCCTTCAGCTGAGGCAGGGTTATTGACATCCCATTCTCCAAACTTGGGCAATGGTTGACCCTTCTCCTGATGATTTGGATGCCAAAAATAAAATGTTGGAGATGATGAGGTATAAAAGACAGAATGAGATACCAGAACTGTGGGTACCAAGAAAGACTAAAAACAGTAGCAACAATTGAGCAGTCAATTTCTAGTTAAATCTCTGCACAATGTTGTAGAATAAAATGTATGAAATGGCAGCAAAGAACTAAAGTCATTGTTGCTAGTCAATCTAAACGCTCTCAAACTTATTCCTATGCTTTTTTAAAATGTTTCTTCAACCTTCCTCCAATAAACCAGTGCATATATATATCTTCTCTCATATTATTAGAACTTCTAATTGTTCACGAGTATGAAATTGAAGGATGGCTTCATCGATAAGGCACCAGCCAATTCATTGTCTAAGGCAAGCCAATGTACCTAGCTTTGCTCTTGTAAGAAGTCAGGAAAATTCTACAATTTCAACCTTAGTCATCTAGATTAGATGGTAACAATCTTTTCATGACACCAAAATCGTCCTTCCATCATTCACAAATTTAAACATTTCTTTTCCATCTTTGTAATCAAGGATTTAAATTTTGGTCCAGGACTGATCTTAATAGCCTACCTATCCAGTATGATATTACTATGCTAAGCAGTATAAGGCCAATGCCATTGAATAAAATAAAAAAAGAAATAAATATAATTGTACCAATATCAGGCTATATTTTTTTAGTACCTACTTGATTGGACTGGCAACCAGTGTGGTTGAGATTTAGAAACTTACTTATTGTAACCCGGTATATAATCTCAACAAAGAATTTAGAATCTCAATCTGATACGGATTTCAATAATCTACCAAACCATTATTACACCAGTACACCGGGTGGTCTACCAACCCATATCATCAGTTTTGATAATTATTATAGCATTTGCAAAATAAAAGAGGACCTACTAATTTAACTAAATATGATTAGACTTTACTTATCATTTCAAAAGATAAGACAGTACATTCTCTAATATAAATCCAAAACTTTCGTCAAGCCTACCTAACTGAGAATACTAAAATTCAATTTCTAGAACCTAAAATGTACCCAATTATTGGGTATTGACAATGAGTTTTCTTATCCGATTGTCGTTTTTAACCAACCATATGATCGAGGAAAAGAATTTCTGAAAATATTGTAGGCTCAGGCTAAATCATTATATATATATATATATATATATATATA